GAATTATTAGGCAAATGAGTATTTTATCCACATCATCCTCTTCATGCATGTTGTCTTACTCCAAGCTGTATAGGCTTGAAAGCCTACTACCAATTAAGCATATTAGGTGATAAGCATCTCTGTAATGAGAAGGGGTGTGGTCTAATGACATCAACACCCTATATCAGGTGTGCATAATTATTAGGCATCTTCCTTTCCTTTGGCAAAATGGGTCAAAAGAAGGACTTGACAGGCTCAGAAAAGTCAAAAATAGTGAGATATCTTGCAGAGGGATGCAGCAGTCTTAAAATTGCAAAGCTTCTGAAGCGTGATCATCGAACAATCAAGCGTTTCATTCAAAATGGTCAACAGGGTCGCAAGAAGCGTGTGGCAAGGTGCAAAATAACTGCCCATGAACTGAGAAAAGTCAAACATGCAGCTGCCAAGATGCCACTTGCCACCAGTTTGGCCATATTTCAGAGCTGCAACATCACTGGAGTGCCCAAAAGCACAAGGTGTGCAATACTCAGAGACATGGCCAAGGTAAGAAAGGCTGAAAGACGACCACCACTGAACAAGACTCACAAGCTGAAACGTCAAGACTGGGCCAACAAATCTCTCAAGACTGATTTTTCTAAGGTTTTATGGACTGATGAAATGAGAGTGAGTCTTGATGGGCCAGATGGATGGGCCCGTGGCTGGATTGGTAAAGGGCAGAGAGCTCCAGTCCGACTCAGACACCAGCAAGGTGGAGGTGGAGTACTGGTTTGGGCTGGTATCATCAAAGATGAGCTTGTGGGGCCTTTTCGGGTTGAATCGAGTCAAGCTCCCCTCCCAGTCCTACTGCCAGTTTCTGGAAATCACCTTCAAGCAGTGGTACAGGAAGAAGTCTGCATCCATCAAGAAAAACATGATTTTCATGCAGGACAATGCTCCATCACACGCGTCCAAGTACTCCACAGTGTGGCTGGCAAGAAAGGGTATAAAAGAAGAAAAACTAATGACATGGCCTCCTTGTTCACCTGATCTGAACGCCATTGAGAACCTGTGGTCCATCATTAAATGTGAGATTTACAAGGAGGGAAAACGGTACACCTCTCTGAACAGTGTCTGGGAGGCTGGGGTTGCTGCTGCACGCAATGTTGATGGTGAACAGATCAAAACACTGACAGAATCCATGGATGGCAGGCTTTTGAGTGTCCTTGCAAAGAAAGGTGGCTATATTGGTCGCTGATTTGTTTTTGTGTTGTTTTTTGAATGTCAGAAATGTATATTTGGGAATGTGGAGATGTTCTAATGGTTTCACTGGTAAAAATAAATAATTGAAATGGGAATATATTTGTTTTTTGTTAAGTTGCCTAATAATTATGCACAGTAATAGTCACCTGCACACACAGATATCCCCCTAAAATAGCTAAAACTAAAAACTACTTCCAAAAACCTTCAGCTTTGATATTAATGAGGTTTTTTTGGGTTCATTGAGAACATGGTTGTTCAATAATAAAATTCCTCAAAAATACAACTTGCCTAATAATTCTGCACTCCCTGTATAGACGTACTGTAACTGAAGCGCAGACTTGGCCCTGGTGTGGCATAGTGTGCTGTGGTACAATACAGTAATGCTGTAAAGAATGGAGTTTTGAATGATAGTCCTGCACCAATTACTGTAAGCATGTTTGCGCTTATTTATGTTTGTGTTTTTTCATCTGCATCTCAAAAAGGACTGCCAGACAACCTAGAAGAGGTGGAAAAGGTCCACTTTTGACTCCGCAGCAAGAGGAAAGAATTTGTGCAATTGTGGCTGCAAACAACGCTTTGAGACTGAGAGAAATACAAAGAACTGTTGTAGAAGATGACACCATCTTCGGAAATATTCAGTCAATATCAATTTCCACCATAGACAGAGTCCTCAGACGGAATGAAATGCCCATGAAGCAATTGTACAAAGCACCATTTGAACGGAACAGTGATCGAGTGAAGGAGTATGTACAGGTAAAACATGTTTGCATATGTACCTCTGTTTACTGTAAAAGTTTGGGCCATGTACTGCACTTACATTTACACATGTTACTGTAATCCTATTTACAATTCAAACTGTACAATCTGTTGTGTCAAATGCACCATTACAGACTTTTTATTCTCATCCTTTGTATAGCATACAGTATCCGGGAATTGGAGGCCAGGGAACCCCTGCACACGTTTGTATATCTTTACGAAGCGGGATTCAGTCTCGCAAAAGGCAGACGGCGTGGACGAAATCACATTAGAGAAAGAGCCACCACTGATGTCCCAGGCCAACGAGGAGGAAATATTACAATGTGTGCAGCAATCTCAGAAAATGGCATTCACACCCATATTCCTCGTATTGGTGCATACAATACACAACACCTGTTGGCTTCTGCATGCCAATATGGCGCCGTTTCGATTTGAACTGTTGCATGCCGGGAGAAGTGACGTCAACTCCCGGAGCTCTATAGGGACCTAATCCCACAAAATGAAAGGGATGATCCTGGTGACAATCGGACAATCTAGTGGTTTGGGATAATGTTAGCTTCCATCACTCTGCTGTAGTCAGGCAGCGGTTTGCAGCACACGACAGGATGCTTATGGAGTTTCTTCCTCCTTACACTCCATTCCTAAATCCAATTGAGGAGTTTTTCTCTTCTTGGAGGTGGAAGATATATGACAGGCATCCACATGCCGAAATGACCCTGTTATCAGCTATGGATGCAGCTTGTGATTACATCACAGCAGAGTCCTGCAGAGGGTGGATTCGACACTCCAGAAGATACTTTCCCCAATGCATCGATAGAGCTGACATTTGCTGTGATGTTGTTGAAAGTATGTGGGCAGACAGACAGGAGTGTCTAGATATCAATGATTGATATGCAGCAATGTCTGTTCAGTTTTTTTGGTTTTGTTTTGTTTTGTTTCAACTTTGTTTTAACTACTGCAGTAAGGTTTACTGTCTAAGTAAACTAAAGGTTTAAGTATCACGAGTGGCATTAAAAGCAGAAGCTTTGATGCTCCATCTGAAAGTAAATCTGTAAGGCTTGTCACCAGCATTCAGAGGTTAATTCTGTTTGCTTCACAGCCAGACAGGGTCTAATTTCTCAAATTGACTTTTGTGCAGATTCTCTGAATTTATTTTTACACGTAAATGCATTCTGTTTGAGAACAGGATGGGGTTTGTAGCAATTACAAATAGTCTAATAAACACACACACACTTTTGAAATGAACAATTTGTAATTTAAACTTGCACAAAAAGCCTTTTGACTTTTATCAGATGAACGATGTTAGTGCACACAAAAAGGCAAATTGAAACAATTGGTGAATAAAGCTCTTCACTGCCGCATTTAGAGTATACAGGTGCTGGCCAGTAAATTAGAATATCATCAAAAGGTTGAAAATATTTCAGTAATTCCATTCAAAACGTGAAACTTGTACATTATATTCATGCAATGCACACAGACCAATGTATTTCCAATGTTCATTACATTTAAATTTGATATTTATAGGTGACAACCAATGACAACATCAAATCTGGTATCTCAGAAAATTAGAATATTCTAAAGGCCAATGAAAAAATGTTTGTTTCTCTAATGTTGGCCAACTGAAAAGAATGAACATGAAAAGAATGTGCATGTATAGCACTCAATACTTAGTCAGGGCTCCTTTTGCCTCAATAACTGCAGTAATGCGGCGTGGCATGGACTCGATCAGTCTGTGGCACTGCTCAGGTGTTATGAGAGCCCAGGTTGCTCTGATAGTCGTCTTCAGCTCCTCTGCATTGTTGGGTCTAGCGTATTGCATCCTCCGCTTCACAATACCCCATAGATTTTCTATGGGGTTAAGGTCAGGCGAGTTTGCTGGCCAATCAAGGACAGGGATACCATGGTCCTTGAACCAGGTGCTGGTGGTTTTGGCACTGTGTGCAGGTGCCAAGTCCTGTTGAAAGGTGAAGTCTGCATCCCCATAAAGTTGGTCAGCAGCAGGAAGCATGAAGTGCTCTAAAACTTCCTGGTAGACGGCTGCATTGACCCTGGACCTCAGGAAACAGAGTGGGCCAACACCGGCAGATGACATGGCACCCCACACCATCACTGACGGTGGAAACTTTACACTGGACCTCATGCAACGTGGATTCTGTGCTTCTCCGCTCTTCCTCCAGACTCTGGGTCCTTGATTTCCAAAGGAAATGCAGAACTTGCTTTCATCAGAAAACATAACTTTGGACCACTCAGCATCAGTCCAGTCCTTTTTGTCCTTGGCCCAGGCGAGACGCTTCTTGCGCTGTTTCTTGTTCAAGAGTGGCTTGACACACGGAATGCGACACCTGAATCCCATGTCTTTCATGAGTCTCCTCGTGGTGGTTCTTGAAGCGCTGACTCCAGCTGCAGTCCACTCTTTGTGGATCTCCCCCACATTTTTGAATGGGTTTGTCGTCACAATTCTCTGCAGGGTGCGGTTATCCCTAGAGCTTGTACACTTTTTTCTACCACATTTTTTCCGTCCCTTCGCCTGTCTGTTAATGTGCTTGGACACAGAGCTCTGCGAACAGCCAGCTTCTTTAGCAATCACCTTTTGTGTCTTGCCCTCCTTGTGCAAGGTGTCAATTATTGTCTTTTGGACAGCTGTTAAGTCAGAAGTCTTCCCCATGATTGTGGTGCCTTCAAAACAAGACTGAGGGACCTTTTAAAGGCCTTTGCAGGTGTTTTGAGTAAATCAGCTGATTAGAGTGGCAGCAGGTGTCTTCTATATTCAGCCTTTTCAGAATATTCTAATTTTTTGAGATACCAAATTTGGAGTTTTCATTAGTTGTCACTTATGAATATCAAATTTAAATGTAATGAACATTGGAAATACATTGGTCTGTGTGCATTGCATGAATATAATGTACAAGTTTCACGTTTTGAATGGAATTACTGAAATATTTTCAACCTTTTGATGATATTCTAATTTACTGGCCAGCACCTGTAAAATGCGCATTTTCAGGCTCTGCTGGGTGCGCTCGTGATGAGGGGCGAGCATCGGGGCGAGCCGCCGGGTTTGGAAGGGGCGGGGCTTTCAAGTTTGGAATCTCACGTTGCAGCAAATTGTTTGCAACAAGCAACAAATCTCCAGCAGAGAAAGTCCGCTGACACCCAGACTGAGAAGATGGCCTCCTCTGAGCTTGGTAAGAGACTTTGGGAGGCTTTTATCCAGTTTCTGTCCTCAGTTAAGTCCTGCTCTGCCACATGCGTTAGCTCCGCGGTTAGCATTAGCCCGCGTGGAAGTCGTTTCTCCACTTTTCTGAGTGTAAAGTGAACGAAATGTCTCCCCTCCAACGCAGCACTCTTGAGTGTGTCGGACAAAAGCGGACTGGTGGAGTTTTCCAGAAGGCTGGTGGATGTGGGACTGTCTCTGGTGGCTTCAGGGGGCACAGCCAAAGTTCTGCGTGATGCTGGGCTGGCTGTGAGGTGAGTTCAGGTAAAGCTAGTCAGAAACGTCCTTCCTGACCTGACCTGCCTGTGCCTCTGCTGTGCGTCAGGGACGTGTCTGAGCTGACTGGACATCCAGAGATGCTGGGAGGCAGAGTAAAGACTCTGCATCCGGCTGTCCACGGAGGCATCCTGGCCAGAAAAAGCCCCTCAGACTCGGCTGACATGGAGAAGCTGGGCTACAGCCTGGTTAGGTGAGTGGGAAACATCAACACCATGCATACAAATCATATGTCCTAATATTAGGTCTGTGCAGCAGGAACATGTAGGATTAAATTAATTAAAAATAAACCATCCAGATGCACGTGGCAGTTGTTTTTATCGGATCACAGGGTTTTTTGATCTGGAAGCATGTGCATTCCATTTAATATCTTGATAATTGGGAGCACTGGTGATCATCTTGTGACTCTTATTGACTCGGGAGGAGAAGAATGTGATTAAATCACAGATCCTGCTGTCTAGCCATAAATAATGAAGCAACACATTGAGTTGAGGCCTGACAAAGATGCAGCTTTTCTCCTCTGTTCTGGTGGAACAACACGCACCTTCCATTTTCAAAAAGTACAAAGTTTTGGTCTTATTGAAGTTTTTACAGTAGTTTATATATCCTGACTTGATGAGAACTTACCTCTGGCAGCGCTGATGCCAGTTTTGAAGAAAAATTGCTCAGATTTGCTAAATGCAAAGTTTCAAAAAGCGTTTCTGTCGCCAAATTAACCAAAGTTTTTGCCTTCCTGACTCACACTGATGCGATTATTCAGAAGCATTTTGTGCATTTATTTAATCTCAAATATGCTTCTATTCAGAGGATGAGTACTCATTTATTGTCTGTTTCTCATTTGAAGAGTGGTGGTGTGTAACCTCTACCCGTTTATAAAGACCGTGTCTAATCCAGGCGTCACCGTGGAGGATGCAGTCGAGCAGATTGACATCGGTAAATCTGCCTAATGTCTGATGCTTTAATACAAACGTTACTTAGAATACATTCTAACAAATATTAAATGAGTTGCTAAATAATGCACTGAAATCCCATAATAAGTGGAAGCTTTTAATGTTAAGAAAAGCCCTCGATTGTTGTTTAGGTGGTGTGACTCTGCTGAGAGCAGCAGCTAAGAACCACGCTCGGGTCTCCGTCGTGTGTGATCCTGCTGACTACTCGCTTGTTGCCAAGGAGATGGAGAGCTCAGGCGACAAAGACACAACCCTAGAAACACGCAAGACTTTAGCCCTCAAAGTGAGTGTGTTTGTTTTAGTCCCGACTCGTTCTGTCGGGTCTGTTTTCCTGTTTCTGGTTTTAAGGGAAAAAGAAAATGAACAAGAAAAGGCAAGCAGTGGACTGGAAAAGCAGAATCGGCAGAACAAAGCTAACTCAGGTGTTTGCTAACCAACCAAATGAAGGGCCTAGGGGGTGGGAATCTAACCTATTAGGACCCACCTGATTGGTCAAATAGGTGAAGAGCTCTATATGATTTGTCAAAAAGCGTCATGCTTCCGTTTGACAGAATGCATTATGTGTAACAAACATTTGAACTGACCATTCCTTGTGGGTTGTTTTCCTGTTTATTGCGATATGCGTATTGCACATGTAGATATCGCGATGACGATATACAGGTGATGTATTGTGCAACCCTAATCCAGTGGGTGCAAATTATGTCCTGAATAGTCATTAGATCATCTCTAATTTCAGCATTAGTCAGCCGTTTCACTGCTCGGACGTGTCTCCTGAAGGGAAGATTCAGTTTGGGACTAAAAGATCAAATATGTTTGAGCAAGTGTTTGTGAGCAACTATCCATTGTGTTGTGAAATATTAAAAAGCATGTGAGGATTCAGAGGGAATGATTGTTTATGTTGGAGTTTTGTTAGTTTAACTAGGTGACTCACCAGAACAGTCCGTAAGGACGTTACTGTTCTTGTGTTTATTTTCTCTGGTTTAGTCCAGACCAAAGTTTATCAAAGTGTTGAAATATGTCACACAGTTTGGGCCTTGTGACCTTTTGACCATACCTGCTGTCTGAGTTTAGTTTTAGTTGAAATTTGTTGCATTTCTGAATTTATCTGGTAAAATCAGAACAAACAACAACTTCTAGTAAAATCCTCATATATGTTTCATCATGTAATCGTCTGTTGTTGTCCATGCTGCTCAGGCCTTCACACTCACAGCGCAGTATGACGAGGCCATATCCGACTACTTCCGAGGACAGTACAGTCGTGGCGTTTCCCAGCTGCCTCTCCGTTACGGCATGAACCCCCATCAGGCCCCTGCCCAGATCTACACACTGCGCTCGGAGCTTCCTCTCAAAGGTGACCGCTTCGCATCTCAGCTTACAGGGGCATTTGGTTTCAAAATAAAAGTTTCCCTATAAGGGAAACCCATGTACACAGGAATGGTGTTCCCAAGAGGAAACCCAAACATGCTCTTAATGGGGGTTAAATAGGGTTAACTCTGCTGAACGTGGAAGTATGGTGAGTCAGAATGTGGTAATCGGGTATTTTTATGTCTCTTAGTGGTCAATGGTTTTCCCGGCTTCATCAACCTTTGTGACGCCCTGAACGCTTGGCAGCTGGTCCGAGAGCTGAAAGGCGCCCTCGGCATGGCTGCTGCTACTTCCTTCAAACACGTCAGCCCCGCTGGTAACGTGAGACTTTTATTTTATTCTCAGATTAGACATAAATATCACATCTGTGTCCTCTCTGTGTCTGAAGGAGCTGCAGTCGGAGTCCCCCTGACTGAGGAGGAAGCCAGAGTGTGCATGGTGCATGACCTGATGAAGGACCTCACCCCGCTGGCCACAGCTTACGCAAGAGCAAGAGGTCAAACACACAAACACTTTTATGTCTCAAGCTTTTGGCGTGGTGTTGACCGATCTCTTTATGCATCTCCAGGCTCGGACAGGATGTCATCGTTTGGAGATTTTATTGCTCTGTCGGACATATGTGATGTTCCTACTGCTAAGATCATATCCAGAGAGGTGGGAACATAAACGCAGGTGAAAAGGAGTGACCTGATTCTGTTTAAAACCTAATATTTGTTTTTTACACTGATTCAATCTCGCAGGTGTCTGATGGCATCATTGCTCCAGGTTATGAGGAGGAGGCGCTCAAAATCCTTTCCAAAAAGAAAAATGGCAACTACTGTGTGCTTCAGGTGAGAGTGGTGTGGTCGGGACTGAGTGAGGCAGAACTTACAAACCTGACTTGGTTCATTAAGAGTCACATTTTAGCACTGATCTTTTTATTTTGTAAAGTTTGTTTTAATCATGCTATAAATGTCTTTGATTACTGTATCGATGAAACACTGATAGAAATCCTTCAGGTCATGTAATTCTTTAAAACTGTGATTTTATTAGCCGAGAGAATTTTCTAAACACGACCTGATTCCAGATGGATCCAGATTACGAGCCTGATGACTCTGAGGTGAGAGTGCTGTTTGGTCTCTACTTAAAACAAAAGAGGAACGGAGCTCAAATCAATAAGGAATTCTTCAGGAACGTAGTTTCCAAGGGCTCGGTGAGTCACTGTGGTGGACTTTTTGATTTATTCTTGTACATTTAGTTAGCCCTTTTATTGTAGGATGAACCATAAAACTAATTCACTCTTCTGTCGCTACAAGCTCACTGAGACCGCTTTGCGTGACCTCACAGTGGCCACCATTGCTGTCAAGTACACTCAGTCCAACTCTGTCTGCTACGCTAAAGATGGACAGGTAAGAACAAATATTAAAGGGAGGTGCCCTGAGGGACTCCGCTCATGCTTCCTCCTCGTACAGGTTATTGGGATTGGAGCGGGTCAGCAGTCCCGTATCCACTGCATGCGGCTGGCAGGCGACAAGGCGGATAACTGGTGGCTGAGGCACCACCCGGTTGTCCTGAACATGAGGTTTCGCAGTGGAGTGAAGCGAGCAGAGATGGCCAACGCCATCGATCAGTTCGTCAGCGACACCATCGGAGAGGTAACGGGCATGGTGGTGTTTAGTTTTCGTTCAGTCTACAGTCGCACAACACTCCTCCTCACATTTGGATAAAAGCAGCAACATAAGACGAGAGAGAGACCTTTTTGTTGTGTGTTTTGTGTTTGCAGGGTCCAGATTTAGATGTGTGGAAGTCCATGTATGAGGAGGTTCCAGTTCCCCTGCCAGAAACCGAGAGGAAGAACTGGATCAGCACCCTGCAGTCTGTCGCCGTTAGCTCCGATGCTTTCTTCCCCTTCAGAGATAACATCGATCGGGCCAAGCGGGTAAATTCCTGGCTGATGATCACACATCTGCTGCAGTTTATTTGCAGACTTTCCAACCCCTGCCGTGCTTCTTGTGTTTGTGTAGAGTGGTGTTGAGTTCATCGCTGCTCCTGCAGGCTCTGCTGCTGATGAGGTTGTGATTAATGCCTGCAATGAGATGGGCATCACTCTGGTTCACACCGGCCTGCGACTCTTCCATCACTGAGCAACACTAAAAATGACACTCAGACATTCCTACTGTTCTCTTGCTGAAGTGTAGAAATCCCTGACATCTGTTTTTGTAGCACGCTACTGATTTTCTGACCCTGTATCGTCACACGAGTGAGCATTAATGTAGTTGTGAAGGTTTATCTCCGCTCAAGTGTAATAAACTAAAGATCTGCAGTGTTTGTTTTGACTCATTTGTTAAATGACTGTGACAGTACTTGAGATCTTTGTGAAATATTTCTGCTTTTTCTCCACAACTCTGGTGAAATGTATGATTTTCATATAATAAATAAATTAACCAGCTGACAGCGATAAAAATACAGTCAGCTGTCTTTGAGTTCACATTAGGCTGCAGTTTCCATTCAGTAACTTTGGTTTTAAAATCAGACAATGTTTGGATGTAGTAAACTTATTCAACATAGAATTTGGCACAAAATAATAAGTTCTAATTTGACCTGTTATAGTTCTCAAAGTGAGAAAACGGACATATTTTTCAAAGCACATTGAATTTTCTCTGTGCATAAGATGTGTTGCATAAATAAAACAAATGTGCCTTCAACAACAACATGCTCCAATTAAAAATAAACAATCGAAACCGTTGAAAATATGAAGGTTAAAGGCACACTTGGCAGTTTTGCTTGCATTCAGCACCTCCTAGTGTCGTTTAGTAGTTCACTGGGTAAACTGAATATGACACTTGTCTCCTCGCTGTACATTCGTCTTTTAATCCAGAGGCAGCCATTTAGCCAATATTGGCCATCGGACGAAATTATTTTTTTAAGGCCGATTAAAAAAAAACAAATTAAAATCGGGCACCTGTGTGGCCAACTGCTGCCACTACTAGACCAAAGAAAGGACCTGAAGGACTCCGACACACTGTTTTTTAAAAAGTTTTGAAGTTGTTTTAGATTTGAAGTTCAATAGATATTAAAAGATTTATTGACTTATTTAATTTATTGCACACAGTGAGTGTGTCAATGTGCTGCTAAAACTTGTTTATATCGGCCTTAATAATTGACTTTAGAATTGTGCCATTGACAACAAAATTCTTTGATAATCGGTATTGGTATCAGCCTTTAAAATACTCTATTGGTCGGCCCCTAATTTTAACACCTTAATGTAACAGCTGAAACGTCTCCCCAGTCTTCCTTAGTGTCTACAGGAGTGTTTATCACTAAATCTAACAAAGCAGCTGTGTTCATGATCTAAAACAAGCTGGAAACAGACTGCAGCACCAGTTTGAAGTTCCAAGTGCAGTATTCTGGTCACATAGGGGGCGGTGGAAGTCTGAATGATATTTCATCAACCTTATAACGCAGGGGTGTTCAATTCTGGCCAAACGTTTCAGTTTTGACTGTGTTAACACACCTGATTTCAATCAGCAGGTGATTAACAGACTTCTGCTGACGAGCTTCTGCACAGGTTAAAGTTAAAGTCCCATTAGTTGTGTGTGTGCGAAATTTGTTCTCCACATTTGACCCATCCCCTGGGGGAGCGGTGAGCTGCAGACACAGCCGCGCTCGGGAACTATTTGGTGGTTTAACCCCCCAATTTAACCCCGTAATGCTGAGTGTCAAGTAGGGAGGCATTGGGTCCCATTTTTTCAAAGTCTTTGTTATGACCCGACCAGGAATCGAACCCCTGATCTCCCAGACTCATGGCGAACATTCTACCACTAGGCCACTGAATCTAGTGTGGAGTGAAGAAATCACTACGTCATGTTTACGGCCCTCCAGGACTGGAATTGAATACCCCTGCAGTAAAGGGTCCTTCAGGCACATACTGGCTCAAGGAATAAGATGCATAGTATGGGTTTAAGTATCTACTCGCATATAAACTTCAAACTTTCTTGAAAGTTGTTTGAAACATTCAGTATTACCTACTTAAACTTGGAGGGAAAGTGTTTTTTTGTTTTGTTTTTCACTGAGAGAAGACAGGAGCAGTAGTAGCAAATCACATTTGTCATTTTAAAAATCAATTAAAAAATAACCTCCAAAATAAATACTAAACAAACTTTAGTTTCATGTTAGGATCTCTCCAGCTTTATTAAAATAAGGGACTTCTTTAGTCAAAGGTAGAAACAACGACACCAACAACAAAGTACAAAAATAGAATGGTTCATATTCTCACATCCTGATTCAGACATTCAGCTGAGATTAAAGGGAAATGTTAGTGATGAGAATGTGTCAGTCACGTCCTTCAGTTATAGAAGAGAAAACGGAGAATTTAGAAATAAAACAGTAACATTCTTTATCACAGTGCTTACCTTTTAAAAACAAAGTCTTTAGTATCTTGAGTCTTGCGTGTTTTTCATGTTTTAACAGTTTTGAATTTAGAAACAGTGAAAAAACTGGCTTGATAGAAAATGTTGAGGACTGATGAGACAGCAGGGCAGTAAACTTTATAAACGTGTCAGAAAAAGTGATGAAAGTTTGATCACACAGACAGCGTGGCTTCTATAAGGTGAGACAGTGCAGCAACTGGATGGTGGGGGAGCTGAGCCAACGTCAAACCACCGATCCGTTACTTCTGAGAGTTTTGAGGCGCAATGCCATCTGCTAGCAGGCTGGGTCGAAGGCATTCAATGGGGCAGTGAATATTCTGGGAAGATAGCGGTAAGGATTAACCGGTGCAATAATACATGAGGTAAAATAAACATGTTAACCCTTCCACTCACATTTCGCAGGGTGTTCTCTCCGTATCTAATAGGCTGCAGCAGACCTGCATCAACATCAGCGCCTGGTCTGCGACAATTCTCACACCGCCATCCCTGATGAGACAAAACACACACTTAAATACTTAATAAGGCTCAGATAAAGATACCACGCCCTTAAAGAGGCTGGTGTAGGTTACCTGTTGTCCTCCATAGCAAGTGCAGGTGCAGATGGCACCTAGGTACTCCTTCTGCCACTGGTTGCCCGCCTGGTAGGTTTTACCATCATCGTAACATACAGAGTGATCTGTGTGGAGCACACATTCAAATTCACACGCAGCTCTTAAACCGCCTCAGATGGCCATGACGGTTTCTGTGGGAGTAAGAGAGGCCTTACGTGGTTCACATTTGAATTCTCCTTTGCCGTTTCCCAAACAAGTGCAGCTCATCAGGTGTCCGTTCTCAGCACGGCGGTCCCACTGTTCTCCGACACGATGGTTGACGCCGTTGTCATGGCACCACTCTGTTGATGAGATATTATGTAATTCTGGGCAACAGTTGGCAGTTTTGCCTGCTTTAAGTACCTGCTAGTGTCCGTTATTATCTGTGGTCAAAGCAAAACCTTTCCCCTCGCTGTGCGTTTGTTTTTGTAACACAGCTGAACTGCTGAAACATCTCCCCAGCCTTCCTTAGTGTCTACAGGAGTGATTCTTTACTAAATCTGACAAATCAGCTGGGTTCGTGATCTAAAACAAGCTGAAAACATGCTGGAAGCAGATTGCAGCCAGGTATGTGAGCTCAAGTGTAATAGGTGCCGGACAGGCACTCTGAAGTTGCAAATGTGGTATTCTGACCACAGGGGGTGACAGGGGTCTGAGTGATTTTTCATCAACCCTGTAAGGGTAATTTTAGCACACACTGTACTGGCTCAAGAAAGTGACATTCATAGCATCCCTTTAAATATGAACAAGTATTCTCATGGTTGTGTTGATTTTCCAAAAAACGTACTGGATGAATCACATCTGAAGTGGCCGCTGCCCAGTCCCAAACACTTGCACCACAACTTGAAGCCTGTTTCAGACATCCGCTCCCATTCACCACCAACCTCATGGTAGGTGGCAGTGAAGGCATCGTAGCAAAGGTCTTTACTGGGTGGACCTCCATTTTGGACTATGAGAAGAAGGAAAAACAACCTTGAATAAATAAACTTTACTGAAACGTGTGCTTTGTGAGTTAAAAGTTGTTTCTGTGGGACACTTACTTGTGTTTCCAACTGTGACAGCCTGCTCCAGAATCTTGTGTTTAAGCGCCCCCAGTATTGCCTCCACGATCACGTTGTAGTTCGCTCCCGGGGTGAGTCCAATCAGGGTGGCGGTGGTGGCTGTTCCTGGCAGACGGACCTGCAGAATGAAATAGTTTCATGTTAAATAAGTTTGGGCAGCATGCTATGAGCAGGCTAAAGGTTTCAGATGTGGTCTCTCTTACCTGGAACATCTTCTCATTAGCATGTGAAAGAGGGTAACAGGACACCAGGTAAGCATTGCTCTGACTGTAAGGCCTCCAGGAGATGCTGGTTTGAGTTTGGGCTTCCTGAGGAACTCCCGTCTGGTTATAAATTGAGGATCCAATGGGTAGTCTAAGCTTCACAATAGGGTTTCTACGGCCTTCTGCATCAGGGAGGGGGACAAAGACCAGCGGCTCACGGACTTGCTCATAAGGAGACTGGGGGTTGCCTCCGTTGTTGTACTCTGTGTACTCCACATGTTGGCTCTGACCACCAACTCCATCTTGGTTGGAGCCTACTAACTGGACTTTGTTGTCCAATTCAGTTTCAGGCACATCCAGCTTGTCGACAACCCCGGCGCGGTGAGGCGGGGGCAGAGGCATGGGAAGCATGGAGTCTGGCTCTGGGCGGGAGAGACGATGTTAGGGAAGCAAGCTGGTTAGATGAGTCGCGGGTAAGGTAAAGCTGCTCTAATACATTTCAGCTCAAACAAGCAACTGTTTAAAAAATCACCACAAACATGCAGAAATTTTGAATGAAATTTATGAAGACATTCAAAATAAAACTTTGCATTAAGGTTTTAGAAGCTAAACGCTTGCTGAGTGAAGGCTTCTTCCAGCAAAAGCATAGCCTTTTACCAATATCTCTTGTTTCTCTATAAAAAGTGAATCTCTGAACGCTTACGAGTCCTGGTGCTGCCCACTAGAGGAGTGCTCCTCTCTGTGTTTTGGATGGCAATGATTTTGATGATGTATTCTGTGGCTGGTCTCAGACCTGGACAGAAAGAAGCAATCAAAATCAGTTAACTTAAGCTTACAGCATTTGACCGTCTCTCGCTATAAACGTAAAGGTTTTGTTCCATCATGAATGTCAGTAAAAACAGACATACCAGTTATGGTGGCGTAGTTTTGTCCAGCGTGGGGTCGGGGGATGAGCTCCCTCGGTGCTTTCCCAGACTCCTCATAGGTGATGTGGTATCCAGTGATGTGTGTGGCGGGTGGTTGCCAGGTGAAGGAGATGGAATTGTGAGTCAGAGTTGTGAACTGGAGGTTGGTGGGAGCCTGGACCAAAGGTCTCTCTACAAACAAAAACATCATGTTACATTACTTTCTGAAAACAGTGAACACACTGCAAAAGCTGATTTCTAACAAAGTAGAAAACAAAAATTAATTTATAGACATTTTATCTTAATTTTAGTCTAAAAAGAAAAAAAATCTCCTTTGCAGTTCTTAAAACTAACAAAATAACCCATATAAATATTTATTTATTTATTTATTTGTTAATTTTAGGAATTTTAGCCAAGCAAAAGTTGTTTACCCCACTGACAGATTATTATACTAAAAGCAAGAAAATGTGAATCATATTCAAGATTTACCTTGTTTTAAGAAACGCAAATTTTTCTAGAGAACTTTTTTCTTTTTAGACAAAAAAATAAAATGTAATGTCTAACCTTTTTTTTTTACTTTCTAAGAAATTAGATGTGTTTTGTACCTGTTTCCACCCTGAGTGTAAATGGGGGGCTCTTTGTGTTGCCGTTTAGGGTGTACAAGCTAACAGAGTACGCGGTGCCTGGTTGAAGACCTGAAAAACCACAAAAACACGCCGTGAAGCAACTATCAGAAAACCAATTCCCCTCGGAAAATAAAAGATGAAGGAGTTTTCAAATGTTCTTCTGAACCAAAAAGGGAGGTTTACCAGTGAAAGTGTAGCTGGTTGTATCTCCTTGGATGGTCTTCCTGATGGGAGCATGTGAGCCACTTATGGGCGTGGCCTCAATGAGGAACCCAGTGATAGGTTCCACCTTGTAGCGCCAGGACAGGCTGAAAGAAGTATCCTTTATATCGAGGACACGAACACGCCGAGGAGCACTCACTTCTACATGGAGAAAAGTTAAAGGCTTAGCCTCACCCACAAACACATTCATACACAGGAAATACACTAACACCTGCTGGAAATGGTGAACATGTGCGTTTTTGTTGCAGTTACTTGGTTACCTTCCAGCGTGGTTGCTTCCCCTTCTAGGGGTCTGCTTGTGACAGAGTTCTTCAAGGCATAGACCTGTATCTGATATGTTGTAGCCACCTATAGTACACAGAAACACAGCTGGTATTTACTTCCTGATCACTATTGTTTCATCCATCTGTTCATGCAAGAGAAAATCGGCATTCACCATAAGCCCTGGTACTACAACACGAGTGGTGTCTGGGGCAACATTCATTTCTTTGTGAGGGCTGTTGATGTTTTTAGGGATGATGACCACACGATAACCTGTCAACCGTGCATTTGAGGGTCGCCATGACACCGTGAAGAAGGATGGGCCGACCTCTGAGATTATCAAGTTGGTTGGTGTTGGGATGACTGAAACAGAAAACAGAAAGAAAACCAACATTTAACATGAACAGTTAAACTCCAGAATATGTTGATGTTTTTTTGTGAGTCTACCTGTGGCTTGTGTTCCTTCTAACGGTGTGCTGGGTGTTCGGCCATTAAAGGCGATGACTTTTACAGTGTACTCTGTCCCGGGGCGAAGGCCTGTCAGCACCGCGCTGTCCTGATCCCTTCTGGGTGCTGGTCGCAATTCTCTCTCGCCCTCCTCTGAGCTGGAGTACAAGACGCGGTATGAAGTCACTGTCCCGTCTGGTCTGTCCCAAGTGATGCGCATAGAGGTGGAGTCGATGTCAGAGAAGGCCAGGTCCTTAGGGTGGTCCATCGCTGCAGAAAGGGAAAAACAAGAACATTTTTCCCAGTAGTGCTTCTCATACAATCACGTTTCAGCCAAACCTCAGATTTGCTTTGTCTTGTTGATATTCCGCTTGCAAATGTTGCTAAATAAATGATGCACCATCAAGAAAACCTCTTCAACATTACCATATGATTAAGGATAAATGTGAGCCAACCCTACCAGTGATGGCGTTTTCCACTGCAGGAGAGGATGGTTGTCCATCGTTGCCCAGTGCAAACACACTCACAACATACTCAACAGTGGGCATCAGTCCTGAGAATGTTATTTCTGTCTGGTCTGGACCAATGAAGCAAGAAAAAGACTAATGAAATCAGAGTTGGGTATTGGGGAAAAAACAAACAAACAAACAAACAAACAAACAATATATATATATATATATATATATATATATATATATTTGTGCATGGCTTACCGGGGGCCACAACCTCTGAGTAGGAAGGTCCCAAGCCATTCTTAGGGACACTTGTGACTCTGTAGCCTCTGATTGGTCCCTGAGCCGGAGACCAGCGCACCGTCATGGCGTTATCACTCACATCTGTGACTTTCATGTCAGTGGGGGACTCAGTATCTAAAAAAGACATGATGCATGACAACCTTTACTCCCACCTTGCCTCTGTTTATATCACTGTATTCTATTTTTCCCTCATTGCACACCAGTTCTGTGAGTTATGTAGACGGGTCTTTTGGAAGCAGGGTTATCTCCTCGTGTTGTGACTGCACTGACTGTGATGGTGTAGTCAGTGCCAGGCTGAAGCTTGGTTATGGTGGCAGTTGTCTGGGTTCCTGGGATTGTTAACTCCTGAGAAGCTTCACCACCTACAAAAAAAAAAAAAAAAAAAAAACAAATAGGTTTGAAATAAAATATTTTGTTACAATTTAGAGGAACATATGAATAAAATTGCAGCACACACTTTCTCCTTTATAGGTGATCCTGTAGTTAGAAACATCAACAGAGGGGGCATCCCAGCGGATGGTGATGCTGGTGGAGGTGGATGACACTACTTCCAGATCAGTGGGAGAATCAGAGACTGAAATGCATTAGCAGAGAGAGGGATATTCATAAGTTCATTAATAAACAAAATTCTGACAGAAACGATAAGCCTTGCATCCCTTAAATGTCACTCCACCTGTCATACACCAGATTTAAACAAAGATCATTTTTTTTGTTGACAAACTATTGAGTTTTAGTCTTTTTACAGCTGTTTTAGTCAAATCTTGGAACTTAAGTTACCACATGAGATATTGCAAGAGCTTACACAAGGTGTTCACGCTTGGACTATGTGTTGTGAAAGACTCTCAGACACTACCACATCAGATTGGAGCTCAGTATCTATAGAGGTGACTGTAAAGTAGCCATTGTTGGGTTTGGAGGGCAGCCTTGTTGAACAGGGTTGAGACCAAAAGTTGTAGAAACTCACTGGTGGCCTGTGTGCCAGTCAGAGGCTGACTCTCCTGATTGTGGCCGACAGCGTACACATATATCATGTACTCTGTCTCTGGTTTCAGTCCGGTCAAAGTGAAGAAGTTCTTTGATGGTGAAAGCCTTTGATCCCTTGATGGCCCACCACTTGTCATCTGATAGTGGATCCTGTAACCGGTGATGGGAGATGTCGGAGGCACCCAGTGAACTTTGAAGGAGTTGGTCCGTATTTCAGAGAAGTTCAAGTCTGTCGGGGAGTCCAGAGCTGGAAGAAAAAAGGAGAAATGGGTTGGAACTGTGAGTTAAAATTTTTGTAAACTGTCACAGCACTGCGAGAGAATAAAAAATAAATATCTGTTGAAAAACCTTTAATAAAAATTCCTGTATTCTCAGTTTTATCAAACAATATTTAAAATCACTACATTTTGCACATTTGCTTATTTTTATCAGATGTTTCATCAATTAAAAAGACAGTTTTCCATCCTCCGATCTTCACAGAGGCACTTTGCTGTGAGAAGCAGCATCACACTCACTTGTGTGCTGATTCCCTGTGGCTGGTGCACTCTCTTGGTCACTGTAAACACACACCACGCTGATGCGGTACTCAGTGTTTGGCTGCAGGTCTTCAAGGAAAAAAATTGGAGATACTGTTAGAAATACTGATTAAGACAAACAATTCTGAGCAGTTTACATCCTCTTACTCTGTAACAGGAAGGTATTGGTGGCTCCGCCCACATTAACCTCTCTAATATCATCATCTGAGGCCACAGGGTGATAGCGAATTACAAATCGAGAGATTTGACTCGGTGTGGCAATGTTGGGGATCGTCCACGTCACTCTGATGTGGTCGGGGCCCACCCCTCCGAACTGCAGGTTGGTGGGAGCTGGCATGGCTGGGAAAAGCAGAGGTTAAAGGTCAAAATGAGAACAAGGAAGCACTTAAAGAAAACAGATGAAGTCGGAAATTTAATGCAACAAGTCGCACATTAAAGTAGAGATAACATGCACATTTTCAAGCCAACATACTGATATCTGAACAGTTTTGCTTTTTTGAGACTTACAGGATATGTAGGAATAACAAATATTTTGATGTATTTGAATAGATTTGCATAAGGACTGTTTTAGTAGCCTTTGCATTGCTGCAGTATTAAAGCAGCTTCTATCTTCTACAGCTGTTCACACAGACATTAATTTGCAAACCTTTACACTGCTGACCCTTTGGTTTGAATAAATATCAACAGCATCAGCTAAATGTAGCACCCCCAAAACATCCAAGGGTCAAGCTCTGCAGAAATTTTATTTTTTTCTACTAAACTGACTGCAGTTTATAAAATAAACAGCTGTAAACTTTGTACATTGCAGTTGTTTTAAGTTGCCAGCAATATTCTTTAGTCGTGGCTTTTTGCAGACTAGTCATCAGCTCATTCATCCTGACAGTGACCATTTCTCTGAACACAGGCCATTCAGGAAGCTTTCTCCAATATGTAGTAAATATTGCATTAATGTTGCGTTTTCATAGTGAAAAAGCAAAATCACCAGCATGTGTTTGCTTTGTGTGTGTGGTCGGCTCGCTCTCTCCCTCCTCTGTAACAGCAACCACACTGATGTCATAGTCCACACCGGGCTCCAAACCCCAAATGGTGTAATGACCAGCAGATGCATCCACCATATCTTGGTAAAAGGGTAGGCTCTCGCCTGCGGCTGCTACTGTTATCCGGTAAGCAGTAATGGTGGTACAGTTTAGAAGGATCCAGCGCAGGCCAATGGTGGTGTCAGTAATGTCGACAAAGTCAATGTGAGTTGGTTTGGGGAGTTCTGAAAGGGTTAGATCAAGCGCAAAGCCCAAGCAAAATTAATCAGAAAGGGAAAACATTTTTACAAGTACACATTTCATTTCTAATAAAGCAAACAGGCAATTATAATGTATCAGTAATAATGTGAGGTAACAAAAAGAGATTAGAATACATTAATTAATAAAAGGCACAGTGCAGGCAATTAGAAATATTACTACTCATGCTAAAACGATTGATTTGATCATTATTCATGTGGCGTTCATGCAATAGTCAGCGATCATGTTGGTGAACAATCATAGTTTAGATAAAGGTAACAAGATACTGTTAAAGCATCACGCCTGCATTTTAGCTCGAAGTTCCAGGTTTTAGTAAATCATTTCCACTCGTGCATGCATGCGTGTGTGTGTGTGTGTGTGTGTGTGTGTGTGTGTGTGTGTGTGTGTGTGTGTGTGTGTGTGTGTGTGTGTGTGTGTGTGTGTGTGTGTGTGTGTGTGTGTGTGTGTGTGTGTGTAACGGATCAATGTTTCAAAGAGCAAGTAAACCCTGTTTTCAGGAACTTGGGGAGGAAAAATTGACCAAAGGATTGAGTTTTACACTCACCAATTTTCATACCTTCCCCCTAAAAAGACCTTTTCTGCAGACACATCTGTGTGTTTAACTTGTTTGAATGCCCTCCCGGTGTCTCTACCTGGTCTGGCAACTGTAGACACTGGCACACTTTCCAGGTGACCCTTGGTGGCAAAAACACTGATGTTGTATTCGACGCCCAAGTAAAGATTCTCCAGGGTGCACGAGGTCTGATCCTCTGAAACAAACTGTTCCAATAAATTCCCTCTGTGACCATTGGTTGGTGTGCCTGTCACTCGGTAACCAGTGATTCCTGCGAAGAAAAGAGGGAAAACGAGATAAATTATAGGGCTGAAAGTTTTATTAAAGTGTTTTGAAATTTCTTGAGTAACAAAGTAAAAATACCAGAAAAAGACCTTGAGTCTAGTGAAGAAAAAAAATACCATTCAAAGGCCAAAGTCTAGATTGATCCAACCGATGTGGGGTGCAAATATTTACCTGGTGTTCTGGAAGCCTCCCAGTAGACAGTTAGATCTCCCGTGTAGGGATTGGACACCAGTCTGAGATCGGTGGGAGGAGAAAGAGCTGCGTAGGAAAATAGAAAACTTAACCCAAATAGCTTCTGAGTTGGCTCGTTGTACCATCACATCATCATCAATGAAAATATCATTTTAGAAGAAGAAATGTAGAGCAGGCATCATCATTACTCTTTTGTCAGTTTAAATGAAAAATTCACGCACAAGTCACAACGTTGCGAGAGATGGGGTTTCCACGGTTGCGACCGTTGAAAATGGGCTGAACGCTGTAGACGTACTGGGTTCCAGGAATCAGACCATCGATGTGAATACGTCCGGAGTCCGAGGTCTCTTCTCTGGGAGACTCGCCTTGCTCACTGGGGAGCACAGAAAGCTGGAGAAAAGGAAGACGAGTGAACCTGGAATCAGCTTAGAGCTGCAGGAAACACATCAAACAGCAGAATCATTAACTCCAAATAATAGCAGCCATCTGGTTAATTTAGGACTAATTTACTGGCTGTTTTATTTTCCAGTAGCACCTGGCAGTGATGTCAGACTGTTCACCTCCTAAACCCCGTTGCTCCAATCTGATGCTTGGTGGTAAACCTCGCTCCCCGAGATGACTTTAATGCAAATTGGCTCTGTATAAATAAACTGAATGTTCAGTTCCAGCTGTAAGCAATTCTGGATGCTGGTAAACTGATCCAAACTTGTAATTTATAGGCTGTAGAACCAAAATACACTGAAATGCTCCAGAGGTTATTAAGCTTCACGGAGTTGTATTTACTTCTGTTATTCTTAAAAATAGCATTTTATTTTTTAGTAATATCGAAAACGTAAAACTCCACAGCTCCACAAGGTATTTTTAGTGATACCTTGTAACTGAACCTGCGGAGGGGTATCCATGTGATGATGATGGACGTATCAGTGACCTCGGTGCTGAAGGGGGGAGTGTTACCTATCTGGGGAGCTGGAAACAAAACAGAGAAGGAGAAAACGTGACTCATTCTAAAATATACATACAAATCTAGCATCTATTTCTGCTAAAGATCTCGTTCCACTAACACTGACTGGTGGTGAAATATGAGGTGATGCCCTCGCTGAGCACACTGTCCTGCTCCGAGTGCAGGGTGGCAGTGTAATGTGTGTCTGGGCGCAAATTCTTTAAAGGGTACTGAGAGACCCCAACAGGAATTCTCTTCTCTACGGGGCTGGAGCCCTCAGTGCTCAGGAAAAGACGGAAACCGGAAACAACGGCCCGAGGAGCCTCCCAGATGATCAACGCACTGTTGGGTCCAATGTCAGTGAAACGCACGTCTGTGGGAGCATCGGGCTCTGCAACGAGAGAGAACATCCCAAATGTAATCAAGAGCACGTGTGCTTTATAATACCTCGTAATGGTGAGGCTTACTGGTAGACTTTTCCCCAACGAGAGGCTCGCTCTCCACGTCGCCTTTAATGGCGTAGATGTAGAAGCGGTAGAGTGTGCCGGGCTGCAGGTGGGTGAGTTCAGCGAAGGCGTTGGGTGAGATGGGCAGCTGTAGGGGGCGGAGCTCTGTGCCGTCCTGACCCATTGGGGAGAAGACCACTCTGTAACCAGTGACTTCAGCTGGAGGACCGACCCAGATGATAGTGATCTTAACATCTGAGACTTCAAAGAACTGGAGGTCTGTTGGAGCTGGGATCGCCTCTGTGGAGAAGATTTATTCATCTAACATTACATTGTTTCTTTTTTTTTTTTTACCAAGCCTCTAAGACAGGGGTGTCAAATATGCGGCCCGCGGGCCGCATCCGGCCCGCAAGCGGGTTAAATTCGGCCCGCGAGATGGTTGTGTAAACTTTATTTTCATACTTTACAATGTAGAGTGAAAATAAACTTATCTTTGTGAGCAAGTTTTCTCTGTATTGAGTATAAATAAAACAAAGCTGCACTCAAGGCTCACACAAGAACTTGAATCACATCCTGAAGTTGGCCGCCACTCAGGATGTGACTTCTGATATTGATGTGCTGGTGAAAGCTAAAAGATGTAAAGTAAAATGAGTCAAATAAACTTTAAGTGCTGCATGAAACTGATCTTGCCATGTGATCTGTAAGCTCTTTGAATCACTAAGGAATGTTTTTTTTATTTGTTGATTTTTTTTATTTTTTTCAAATTTTCAAGTACACTTCAGGTGTTGTACTTGTACTACACTGTCCTCAGGCTCCAGCCTTGTTTAACATTGATTGTATTAAAACAAAGAAAACAATCTGAAGTTTTTTTTTTTTAATTTACCGCTTCGGCCCACTTGGGACTAGATTTCCCTCAATGTGGCCCCTGAGCTAAAATGAGTTTGACACCCCTGCTCTAAGATAACCAGGCTGAAATGTTTATAGATTTACAGCTGCTCAGAGAAACATCTGTTTTTATTTTTCATGCATCGTGAAGCCGTTCCAGTGTTTCCTGACCCAAAGAGTCAAAAATGTTAATCTTCTATGAAACAAGGATTTATGAGAGACTTGTGCTTAAGTGTGGGGCGTTGGCTGAAGAGATGCTTCTCAGACCAAATTTAATTACAGGTTCTTTGAGAGTCAGAAATAGGCCCTTTTAAATGATAAAGTAGGCGATCCATCACATCTCAAGCTGATAGGCTTAAACTAACAGCCAAGAGGCAATATCTAAAAAAATAAAGCATATAATACAACATGTTATGAGAAAAGTAAATCACTGACAGTTTATGAAGCTCTAAATGTTTCATCTATGCACCAGATTTTATCTCAAACTGCAAAAACATGTACCTTGTTTGGCAGATCCAGCAGTGGTGACCTGCACAGAAATAGGCTCACTCTCTAAATTCTCCTCCACAGCATAGAGGCTGATGTTGTAGAGGAGGCCAGGCTGCAGGTCCACCAGAGTTACTGAAGTCTCAGAGTCTGGCAGAATCAGCTCAGTGCTGCTGCCTTCTTCTGAGGGGGTGTACACCACACGGTAACCTGCAGGGATACGCATGAAGTTGGTTTTGTTGCATCCGCTCTCCTAAACATCTAAATCCTGCAAACACAAGGACAGTTCCTACCAGTGATGGGAGCCTGAGGTCTGGTCCATCTGATTCCAATGGAGGTCTCTTGAACATCATGAACAGCAGGCTGAGTGGGGGCATCAGGAGCTGGTGGAAGAAACAAGTTATTTGGGAAAGCTGAATAAAAAATGGGAGATTTGTGTCACAAAATGAAGACGGAGAATGTTTATTTACCTGTAGTCTGTGAGGTGGTCAGGATTAGGTTTGGTTGTCCGTCCTCTGGCAGCTCGTAGACACTGACGTTGTATCTGCGTCCTGGCAGGAGATCACGGATGACGACAGAAGTGGTGGTGCGAGGAATATCTGGGGAGAAAAATGGGTGTTAGAAAGATTAAAATAAACTATTAATCTATTCCAAGGTGCATTATGTCACTGGTAGACTGACGTCCAAAGACTCTCACCCAGGACATTTGTCTTAGCGCCCTCCTCAATGAGCTCGTACTCCAACCTGAAGCCCGAGATGGTAGAAGAAGCTGAATTCCAGGACACAACGAAGCTGTTTGAGGTGATTTCTGTCACTGACTCAAACATCTCCACTATCGGTGGAGGAGCAGTCGTCTCTCCCTCCCATGTCTCCACTTGAGAGGTGAACAAGAAATTGTGCTTCTCAGTTAATTCCTTTCAGGTGTGAGACATTAGAAGGAGGCTGTAGTTCACTTACAGGAGCCGTGAGCGGTGGTGAAATCAAAGCGCGTGACCTCACGACGCCCGTAGCGCATGATGCTGATCAGCTGACCCTCGTAAGTAACGCCTGGACGAAGCCAACTGATGGTGTAGGAGTTGACGTGGCCGGGGATGGTGACCTCCCTCCAGGGGGTGCGGCTGTCTTTCTACAGAAAATAAGAAAAAAAGAAATTCATTTCTGTTCATAACATGGATGTAGATTTACCTTTTGTGTGTCCGTGTGTGTGTGTGTGTGGTGGGGGGGGGGGTGGGGGGGACACAACACAACCGGCAAGAGGGGGATCTTTATGGTAGTATACAAAAAATATGTAATATGCGGTTGTTTTCCACTTGGTCCCAGTGCTCAACCAGCTTCTATTAAATATAGCGTAATATTGCTTTTGGACAGGAAAAGGTGAAGGAGACTGAAATTTACTTTGGACAAAGTGGGGGGACATGTCATGACATGTCAAATCTGATCAGTTCTGCATATTTGGGAAAAAAATGCAAACTGATTGCATTTAAAATAATACACACACAGGACAAGGTCATTATGTGTTGGAGGTACTAATAGTTACAAAGTAAAATACACCTAAATGCTAGTTATATTAACTAAGACAAACTAATACAAAGTACTTAGAAATTAGCTTCCTGAACTAGTACTTCACTAGTAAGAAGTAAGCAACTTTTGAATAAATTGCACTAATTTATCTTAGTTAAGGTAAATTATGTTTAGGTGCATTTTACTCTGAATGCATTAGTGACTCCGGCACATAATTACTTAGCCCCGTTTACTTATTGTTTTAAATGTATGATCCCACTGTGACCAAATGTTTATGTAATAAATATTTTAGAAGTGAAAATAAATCTAGTATTTATGTTACTTTGTAACCCTTTTATTCATATGATTTTATAAATCTTTGGGCTTGAAAAATACATTTAATTTTCATTATGAAAACGCTCTTTGACTTTAACATTTTTATTACCATATATTTTTAAAACTGAGTGACATAGTAGAGTCTAATGTGTCGACACTCATCCCCTTTAGCGGCCTCAATGCACATAAAGGTTAATAAATCAATAAACACTGAGTCAAGAATGTTTTTCCATTACAAAAATATCCACGTCCCCTCAAAGGCCAGTTGAACACTTTGTTTATTATGTTCAGGAAAACAACTTAAGAGGAAACGTGTTTGACTTGAAGTCTTGTACATAAATGTTTCAATCAATGACGACTTTTAAGACCCTCAAAGTGGAGCAGATGGTTGAGGAGAAAACCTCCAGACTAGTGAGATTTTATTTTGAAGTCAACTAGAAAAACACTATTTGTATATACAAACTGTAAAGGAGTCTGTGTGCCCCTTAATCGCCCTGTTTGTTGAGGATAAACTTTGGATAAAATCAGGAAAAAACTCATGACCTCAATCAGAGCTTGCATTCACCTTTGATAACGCTCCAGGTTCTTGGGGTCATTTGGGGTTTTTTCCAAGAAAAAAATGGACTGAAACAGGCAATTCATGAGTTGTATTAGAAAACCCAAGTGTGACTCACAAGTCTCCATTTGAGGATGTACTGTGTAACATGGGTGGATGAAGGAGCGTTCCACTGAATGGGGTGGGAGTCTGGCTGTTTTCCTGCCTCTGAGATGATCACCTGGACAGGTCTGGAGCCGCCTGAAGAGTTTGAACATCAGTTAATGAAACGTCATGTAAGGGATGACAAACATGCTGTTCACAAAAAGTAAATCTGAAAATGGCTTGCAGATTTTAGAGAGTCAGTGAGAACTGGCAACTTTATGACAAGTTACAATCAGACGATTCGGCACTTTGGGACAGAATCAAACCACCAGACGGTGCTAAACCAGATCAACACCTGCTAGCATCTCACAGGCTGAAGTGACACCTCAGCACCATTTTCCTCACATTTATCTGGTCTCTGCTGCCTTTTGAACACACACACGTAGACTCTCAGCCCTCTCCGCCGCCCACACTGTCCCCAGCTCCTTTTGATCGGAAGACAAACATCGCAACTGTAACCTCTTAGGTCAACATTTGGTCCACGGCTCGGTGCAAAGTGCTAATCAAGGCAGATTTTATCCGGGGACAGGAAGTGACTGTTTGTGATTTCCTCATGACAAATCTTTAAATTCTGGCTAGAAGACTAAACCCTAGCTCTGTGCTAACTGGACAAATGATTTATTCCTTAATAAGAGCAGCATGCATGTGAGAGAGCAGAGGGTTGAACGAGTGCAGCAAATAACACTCGGCTGTGATGTTATTCATAACTGTCTCAACACTCCGCTCATTAACTTGTCATTTTGCCTTCTTACCACATGAACTCACAGTGTGCTTTGACCTTTTATATATATTTTGACAAGATTTACACAGTAGAGAAACACAGAGGAGTCTAAAGAAACACTGGGTGACTAGTTTCCCCTAAAAGTTACATTACGACCTTTAACGTTACATCAAATCATTTGGAAAAATATGTTATTTTTAGTCATGATTTACAGAGTTTTAGATGTACTTTATCAAAGGAGCTATGATAAAAGTAAAAATTTTCATTTATGCAACAGTTTAAAGGGGACAAAGTATCCAAACCAACTTTTTTTTGTTTGTGAATAAAGACGGCTTGGGTAGTCAAAAGCAGCATGCCAAAAAGTCTAAGCCATGTTTGACCTACTTTGTATGTCAATTAAAAAGTTTTAAAATACCAGAGAAAAACGTGTTTTCTGAGAAACCTCTCATAAAAACGTCACAATGTGGAGCCCTTCCTCCTCTAATCTGCAGTCTTCTGTGTTTGAGGACTTCTGGTTTAAACCAATCAGCAAGCAGCTCATTAGCATATTCATACCCTGACCAAGTGTTCTTTTGCTTCTTAAGCCCTTTCAGATTGGCATTCTGGAATATGTGTGGACAATTCAGTCCGGTTTTTAACCAGAACTGTGTTTTCAGACACACCACTTTTGTACCTGAACTTGTCCTTTCGGCTGCCTTCACACAGCAGGGAAAAGTTCCAGATGTCTGAGGGGGAGGGGGTGGCAAGGCTGTACCCGGATATTGCGTAAACATAGTGCGGTGGGCGTACATGCGTCATTTACCCAAACAAAACTATTCAGTCAAACATGGCCGACGAAGAGATAGAATTCCTCTCACTGATCGGACTTATATTAAGCATAATTCTGCTCACACGAAGACGCATAAGAGACCTGGATGATGAAGCTCAATGGCTAATAAAGGAATCACGGAAGCGGTGTGAAGCGCTCCGTCGCGCGTCTAGGAGACGGTACCGTAGGAGGCGAGCTGCCATGGTTCGCCTCATGCTACAGGAGCGAGCTATCTAGGTGCGCACAGCGTTCCCCGGTCCCCTCCTCCTCCCTGTCCGGAACTCGACCTCACCAGTCTGAAGCAGCCACTTTGTCCGTGACAAGTCCGGTCCTGTTACTAGGGGCATCGTCCGGTTTAATTACAGAAAAGGTTATCCGGATGTTTGTATTCAGACACAAAGGTCTTAAGGACAGAGTCTCGAACATTTCCGTTTTTCATGGCCTGTCTGAAGGGGGCTTTAGAGATTCAAAGCAGTGTTTTAGATTGCTGATCAACTGCATTCTTTGTCCGCTTGTCACACTTGAAAGTTTTGACTCAGTTTTAGCACCCCCAGTGTTCATTTAGTGCAACCAGAAGAAAAACGTATCTCCTAACTCTGCATTTGTCTTTTTAACACCTTATTCTAACAGCTGAAATGTCTCCTCAGCCTTCATTAGTGTCCACAGCTTTGGTTCATCACTAAATTAACCAAATCAGCTGTGTACACAATCTAAAACATGCAGTAAACGTGCTGAAAGCAGACTGCAGGCAAGTCAGCTCTAAATTTTCCACAGGTGGCGGACCACCACTCTAAAGTTGCAAGTGCATATTCTGGCCACAGGGGGCAGTGGGGGTTTGAGTGACATTTCATTAACCCAAAGGATCATATTAGCACACCCTGGCTCAAGAAAATTGTTTAAATATATGAAAAAGTTGCAAAGTATTCATTTAATAAGATGAGCAAGTCAAATAACTAATGTGCCACATAAACACCAAACAAAATAAGAGAGAATTCCCAACATTTTCTGATTCTTTTCATTACCTGGGAAGGTCTGCATGGGTTCACATCTCATTTCTCCATTCCCGTTGCCATAGCAATAGCATCGGTAGTGGATTCCGCTGATTACTTTGTCCCACTGGTCACCAATCTGATAGAACACCTTGTTTTCTGGCTCTTGACACTGATCTGTTAGAGGAATCAATGTTGAGCAGGCGCAACAGAGAATATGTTGTTTGTAATCTAACAGGCAACCTAACGAGTAACAAACACACCAATTGGATCACACTTCCAGCGCCCGCGTCCCTGTCCAAAGCAGGTGCAGTTCATCATGTGACCCTCTGAGTGGCGTTTGGAGAACTGCTGGTTGACTTCATAGGTTAAGCCATCGACAACACAGTGATCTGGCAAGACAATCGCAAAAATGTTTTCTTTAATACTCGGGTCAAAACTCAAAATCAAGGTTACTATTGAACAGTTTAGTGGGGTCAATCTTCCAACCTCGTAGTGTTGCATGAGCAATGCAGTTCCACTCCCCACGACCATTTCCCAGGCATGTGCACTCCATCATGTGACCCATGGTGTCATGGCGTTTGTCCCACTTGTCCCCTACACGGTACATCGCTCCTTCACTGGTGGAACACACCTCTTCATGGGCTGGTTGAGAAAGGAAGGACAGTTGGGACTTCAACCATTTAATGATTGCATTCTTACACCTGTGTGTGTGTGTGTGTGTGTGTGTGTGTGTGTGTGTGTGTGTGTGTGTGTGTGTGTGTGTGTGTGTGTGTGTGTGTGTGTGTGTGTGTGTGTGTGTGTGTGTGTGTGTGTGTGTGTGTGTCAGACTAGGAACTTTGTTTGGTTCAAATCATTCTAGAGTCAAATCTGTGGACTTAACATTATATAACAGTCCTTATTCTCACAAGAGCACATTCAGACCATTTCATCTCCACTCACCCTAAACAAAATAAAACATCCCATAACAAGATGAGGCCATTTATTTTAAGTATTTTTTGAGGTTGCACACGTGCCTTGACATTTGTACAGCAGGTGTTTCCATAGGGCAGAACTGACAAAGCAGACTCACCAGCCATTGGGCAGAACCCATAGCGGTGCTCTGCATCATAGTTGTGGGTGGTGCCGCACCACCTCATGCCATCACGGCGCCCATCAGCAGTGCAGTCAGTGTAGTTACGACCACTGTAGAGAAATGGGAAGTGGCACAAGGCGCCGTTGGAGTTTCCACCTCGCGTTGCTACAATTGCTGGAATTTGAACAGAAATAAAACGTACTTAATGATTTGCCCCCATTGGGCTACTGTATTTTATGTCACTGTTATGTCTGTGACAGGTGGGACATGTGAAGCAGTGATTCACCAAAGTTTTCCGTGCAGAAAGAATACTGCTGGTCTCTTTCATAGTCTGAGGTTGTGGAGCACCAGAGCTGTCCATCACTGCGTCCATCTGAAGTGCAAGAGTAGTACGTCTTCCCCATGAAGACAAATGGGAACACGCATGGCTGACCATTAGAATTGCCACCATACACATGGCTTCTGGCCTCTAAACCAACAGGAAGAAGAAAATGTCACAAATGAAACTGAGCAATGAGCGCTGAATCAATAAATGCTGCAAGAGAAGTTAAATTTGTAACAATTTAATCTTTGTTCTCACCCCATTCCTGGCAGCTGACTCCGTTGCCTAGACAGGTGCACAGCATCTGCTTGCTGCCCTGGCTCCCAATCCAGCGCTGACTGTCAAAGTAGGAGGCACCAGAATCTGTACGGCAGGTTCCCTCAGAGGTGGGAACTTGATACAACAGGGACTGTGCTGTAAACCAATCACAAGCGTGATAAATGTCAGGGATCAGAATGTCAGACTAAAGTTTGTCAGAATGCTGTTAAAAAACATACTTTGGCCTGCAGAGTGTCTTTCACAGCTGGACTGTCCACGGCCGTTTCCTAAACACACACACTGCATAGGGTTTCCCCTTGAGTCAGCCTTCGTCCAAGTTTCTCCAATACGGTAGGACGTCTTGGTTATCGGATCGTTGCAGCGGTCTGGTTGGGGAATGATATCATTTAGCAGCTGCTCAGGAAACTTTAAAAAAAAATTCTTCATCAATGTTTGTGTCTCCCTCACTTCTTGCGGAACATTTGACACGTCCATTCCCTTCTCCGAGGCAGGTACAGTCCAGCATCATCCAGCCTTGGTATGGTCTCTCCCAGGTGTCCCCGACGACAAATGATGATGCAGCGTAGTTGTCATAGCAACGTTCAGCTGACAGAGAAAATGTGGATGAAAGGTTATCAGATTGTCATCGAAATCACAGAATCACAGAAACATTGGATGTTTCCTAAAAAGACGGATCAAGGGAAAAGGAAACATTTTGTGATTAAAAAACAATTTCAGTAATAATTCACAAGCTGAGGACGGATGTGTTACCCACCCACTGGTTTGCACGTCCACTCTCCCTTGTTGTTTCCAAGACAAACACACTCTAACATGGAGTCACCACTCTCGTGAGGCTTCTGCCAAGTGTCCCCGATTCTATAAGACCGTCCTCCATCATGGCAACGATCTGTCAACCACAGAATGACCCAAATCCCTCAGTTAATATGTGCATCATCAATTCAGGATTTCTTTTATTTCCTGTTTTATTTAAAACTCATAACAAACACCTTACTAGTCGAGGAACTCACTTGCAATGGTACAGGTGATCTTCCCAGATCCGATACAGGTGCAGTCCCACATCAAGCCGTCCTTTGGTCTCTCATAGGTGTCACCGACCCGGTATGTCCGGCCATTGTCCTTGTCATAACAGGTCTCCTCCGCTGCAGAGGAAACATTAAAAAAGGTCAAGAGTGTGTTTGTGTGCCTCAGTTGGAGACGCGGTTGCTGCGTAAAAGCGCACAAAATCAGGATGTAGCTTATTTAACTCACATTTAATAAGATTAAACAAAGTAAACAACTAGCTGAATTGGGTGGAAGTCCGCGTTAGAGGGTGACTAACCTTCAGGTTTGGTTTTACATTTGACGCCTGCAGCACCATTGCAGGTACAAAGCATCGAGCTGCCGCGGTAAGATTTCTCCCACTGCTCGTTCTGTCTGTAGGAGCGACCGTTTTCCTCACAGCTGACTGCAAAAAAAGCAACATTATTAACCACGAAATAAGATTAAAACATTCAAAATTTAGTAAGCTTTACACAATCACTATGGCTTACCAAAGTTCATAAGACACCCTCCTCTGGTGCCTTCGTGTTTATGAATGGATTAAATATAACAATCGCACTGTCACTGACCTGGAGTGAGAGCAGCGGTGTCACCAAGGTCCGGGTACACCTGATACTGGCCCGTCTGTCTCCTGCTCTTCTTCGGTGCGCCGTGCACCGCGCTGCTTACGCACAGCGCAACCAGTAACCCAGTCAGTGGGGCACCAGTCATTTTGAGGACTGGTGACAAGAAAAAAAAAACTAAAATTAAACGCAAAGAGGAAAATGTGATACAGGGAAAAGAGAGAAGTGTGCGGGATTAAAGCCTGGAGAGATCTGTCCCTTATCTTTTGCGCTCTGCGGCAGATGTTCCAGGTCTGCCGCCCCGCAGCTGCTGCGCCAGACTGAGGAGACGGGAGCGCACTGGTTTTATACCACCGAGTCCTGGGGAGGGACTTGACTGGACTTTATTGGATCACCCTGCCTATGAGCAATACCGTGTCCTCCCCTCACTTCCAATTCATGAAAGAAGCAAAAACAAAAAGTGGACTAGAAAAAAGCTGAAGTGCAAAAATAAAGTCTGTCTTTAAACTACCGCACATTAAAACTAAACACAAGATCTTTACTGGTGTTGAGCCTCTGGGGGATCATTTTAGTCATTAGTGTATCATTTTAAAACGACTTAATCCAAAATCTTAAATTGTCGTTTATTTGCCAGAGCTGATATTTGTTCTACTTTTGGAAATTACACTTCTTTTATTTAATATTTACAAATCAAAACAAGAAAGAACAGAAGTTATTCCACTGTTTCGTTTAGTTTATATCTGATGCTTTTTGAGTAATTTCATGTTCTACTGAAATATGTTTCTCATAAAATCTTTTTCCAGCAATTCAAAAGGAAAATTTTCAACTCAAAATGACAAAGCAGCAAATGTAATTCTTTTAAAATTTAATATAATCTTGCAAGTACGATTAATATCCTTCAGTTTCCTGAATGTTGAAAATGCAAACTCCATATTTACCTCATAGAGACAGGTTTTAGTTCCCAGGAGGACAGTCAGTCCCTGCTGTCTGGTTTTACTATCAAAAGATCAAATGAAAGTAAGAAAACTCAAATCCAAACAGTTTCCATTGTGCCTTTTTCCTGTTCTCCATTTTTCATCTGTCTGGTTGAGTTCAGTGTGTCAGAGAGAGAAAACAAATATGGCTGTTTTAATCATCAAACTTTCCTTTTACAGGAATATACTGATTGTCTAAGTCAATAGCATCCATGGACATTGTGGTTTAACAGTTCCTGTCAGAGAACTCACGGAACAAGCTGTGCCCGAACATGCTGAACACGAAGCCAAACTTTTGGGGAAACAAAGGGAGAAAACAGCAAAAACTCTGTTGTTTTTACTGAGTCACAAATCTCTCCCGTGTGGAAAAAGTCTTCAGATGTTTTCCATTTGTCAAACAGTCCTAAAGCATGGAGGATGAAAACACACTCCTTCAAGCTTTATTACCTCACTGCTGCTTCCAGATTCACTGATGCCGGACAGCAGGCTTCCTGGAAGTGCACTCGAGCTGTACACATGAGCGAGTGGGGGGAAAGAGCACATTAATGCACACACTTACCATAAAGGTGTATTTTTGGTGTGACTTCATTTCCTCGGTCAACCCCGCTACATGTTTAACCGTTCTTGTGGAGCTCTCTGGAAGGAAGCCTGGCTTCGGTCAAGTAATTCATCTCTTCTCTGCTTTTCTCCTTACTCCTGTTTTGCCAACATACCATAAACCTGAAATCGTCACCACTCTGGATGGTTTTGCAGTGATTAATGTGAAACTAGAATGGGCTGAGAGAGATGGTGGAGCTGTTTATGTCTTCCTTCTATTTTTATGTCTGTTTTCCTTTTTATGAACATCAAAATACAAAATCCAGCTCGAGTTGGATTGGACAACGTGTCCACCGTGTTTATTGTTGTCAAAGTTGTATTACATTCACGGGTCAGAAGGCTCCTTGGTGGCAGGGACCCAGGGGGTGGAAGAGATCTGCCAGGAGTTTCTTAAGGTTCTGGATGATTTGGGGTTTTGTTGGTTGATGGGGGCGGTTTCACTGGATTGGCAGACTAGGGAGATGGTACCCTACTTAAAAAAGGGAACCGCAGGGTGTGTTGAGACTACAGGGGGATCACACCCCTGAGCCGGTAAAGTTTATTCAAGGGTTCTGGAGAGGAGGTTCCGTCTGATTGTCTAACCTTGGATTCAGGAGGAGAGGTGCATTCCTGGAACACTGGACCAGTTCTGTACATTTAGGGGGTTCTGGAGGGTGTGTGGTAGTTCACCCAATCAATCTGCATGTGTTTTGTGGATTTGGAGAAGACATTCTACCGCATCTCTGAGATTCCTGTTGGGGGTACTTCATGGTGGACTGGGACCAAAATTCGGCCCTGGCATTTTTACGAATCGCCGGCCCTCAGTCAGCCCTCCCCATTGGGAGAGTGGTGGGGGTGGGGGGCTATTGCCACGCGCGGACTTGTCCCAAGGCTGAATGTGAGATCTAAAATGGACTGGGACTGTAAAATTACAAGCAGGGCCTGACCGCTGCAACCGGGAGCCCTGGGCTTCCAGATCAGCTCATTCTCCACGGGCGGAGATCAGTGGGGCATTAGCTACATGCTAACGCTGTAAAACAACTCCTACGTCATTGCTCTACTGCATTTTTCTTGCTAAAAACGCCTGGAAAAACTCTGTTAGCTTTGGGTTACCATGTAGCTAATGTTCTGCAGATCAACAACTGTATAGTGTTGACCCAAGCTGGGCAAGCAGGCCACTTGGCTAAGCGGCCCACTGGGACGGTGCCAGAATGCCAGATAGGCCAGTCCACCAGGCCCTCCGATACAGACTGTTAGGTCAATGCTGGCAGTAAGTCGGACTTATTCCTCGTGAGAGTTCGCGAAGGCTGCCCTTTGCCACAGTTTCTGTTCATAACTTTTATGGACAGGATTTCTAGGCACAGCCAAGGTGTTGAGGGAATTTGTTTTGGTGGCCTGAGGATCAGGTCTCTGCTTTTTGCAGATGATGTGGTCCTGCTGGCGTCATCAGAACATGATCTCCAGCTTTCTTTGGAGCGGTTCGCAACCAAGTGTGAAGCAGCTGGGATGAGAATCAGCTCCTCTAAATGCGAGACCATGGTCTTCAGTCGGAAAAGGGTAGAATGCCTTCTCCAGGTCTTGGATGAGGTCCTGCTTCAAGTATCTCAGGATCTTGCTCACGAGTGAGGGAAGGATGGAGATCAATAGAAAGATTGGTGCTAGGTCTACAGTGATGCATTGTACCAATCTGTTGAAATTCGAGAGCTTTGCCTTCTGGCCTTCAGGCTCAGCTCTCTCTTCATCAGTTGATCTACATTCCAACCCTCGCCTATAGTCATGGGCTTTGGGTAGTGACCGAAAGAACAAGACTGCAGATACAAGCGTCTGAAATGAGTCTTCTTTGCAGGGTGTCTGGGCTCTCCCTTAGAGATATGGTGCTCCTCCATGTCTAGAGAAGCCAGTTGAAGTTGCTCGGTGCATGTTGTTGGGATGCCTCCTGGACGCCTCCCTGGTGATGTTTTCCCGGCATGTCCAACCAAAGGAAACCTAAAGGAAGACCCAGGACACACTGGAGGGACTGTGTCTCTCGGCTGGCCAGGGAACGCCTTAGGATTTCCCCGAGGAGCTGGCTCAAGTAGCTGGGGAGAGGGAAGTTGGACCACTCCACTTAGGCTGCAGCTCCCACAACCTGACCCCGGATGGACAAGATCACCTTGAAAAAGTTTCCCATTGTTGCAAAGTTGTGTTTTCTTCTGTCTCTCTGTGAGATGTTTGACACATCTACTATTGTTGGTTTAGGTCTGTTTCCTGTCTTCTTAACCTCCAGTTGTTCAATGCAGATTCTGAATCTGGTTCTGTGTGACCTCTCCTCACTGCCCATGAGAAGGTGGTTGGCTGTCATCTGCCCTTATTCCAGGACATTTGCAGCTCCAGGACCAGGAAGTAAACAGCTAAGATTACAGAGTACTCCTCTCATCCCTGACTAATTCTGCTCCCTCGTGAGATCCACCCGGACCAGAAGCTCGTTCCACAGTTTTCCCCCTCCATCCTTCTCAATACGAGTGACTGACATTGAATTCACATTTACAACTCTAACCAATTATGTGTAAACTTTGACAAATGAAGTCGGCAGCATTTTAGCGTGTTTAATTTCAAGCTGTGCAGTTAAATAACCAACATAATATCTTTGGTTTAATGAAAACCACAGCTCCAATAAACAACTTCTGATGTGGGTTCTGTCTGAAACAGCCGTGTGAGGTAAAGTAAGATTATTTCTGCAGATGTTTGACACCACATAATCCACTAAAACCTCACCACTGTTGACATTAACAAAAATCATTTTAGTCAGAAACTGGTTAAAAGAAAATTCAAGTGTGAAACTGGATCAACGGTTTTGTTTGGAAGTGTTTCAGTTTGCTTGGCAAATTCCCTTACAGGACAATCTTTCAACAGACGAGTCAAATAAAAATGTCTCATCTCAGTAACAGAACAGTACTTTCACATTCTGTCAACTGCTTACACAAGAGACTAAGTACAGTTGTGAGGATTAGCCAACAATCCCAATATCTGCTAAAGTTTCTGCATTCCAGAGAGATAGAGAGCCTCGGGACTGCTTGATATTAAAGCTTGCTTCTCCACCCTAAATTCAGTCAACCTCGGCTCCAGAGAGGGAGAGCCAGATGGCCACAGCTGAATGGGAGAGCCGAGGGAGGGAGTGAAGGATGGAGAGGGGGTGAAGTAATAAAAGGGGGTTAGCTGAGATGGTTTGGAGCAGAAGAAATGTATCCAGTTGGAGGGAGGAGGGTCTGACGAACAGCATCCATAACTGTCTCTCTGTCACACCCGTGGAGGGCTGTTCTGTCTAAAGAGAAGCTGAATCTGCAGCTTAGAAGATAAAAAGAAAAATGCATGTAAAGAAACTATAAGCCTGCAGAGGTTCATGCCCCAGTCTCTGAAACAGTTGAGCAATGCATGTTAAGTCTGTCAGCATTTTCCCTGATTGGCGTCATAACCGCTGAATCAGTGAGAACTTTCTGCTCAGGATGTGAACAGCGTTTGTTGTTCAGCTGTTAGCGCGTTAGAAGGGGCTCTGGGTAGGCGGCTTCTGCAGAGACGAGCACTTTGACGTCGCACTTACCAAAGATTCCACAACATGGTGCAACAAAACAACGTTGCCATGGAAACCAGGTGGGGTAGGGTCACTCCTGGAGTGACAGTGAGGGTTTGGGTCCTGATGGAGACTCGTCATCCACTAATCCCGAGTCACACAAGACACTGCACACTCTTGTGAGACAATGTCAGTGTCCAGAGGAGCACACACACTCACACACACACACACACACA